GAGAGAATTCAGACATGTATCTTTTAAATTGGCATCATCTCTTCAGGCCACAAGGCTGGCAAACTTGTGCTTTATTGCAGTATCTTTTCCCAATTTCTGCATCCCTCTTATAAATAAAGGTCATTATTTAACCAAAGTCACTCAGTATTTTTTCTCTTTTTCTTTTTTTTTTGGATAGTACTGGAGATTAAACCCAGGGAACCAAACACAGGGCCTCAGGCTAGGAATGTAGCCCAGTGGTGGAATGCTTGCCTACCATGTACCAGGCCCTGGGTTCAACACCAGGACTGCAATAAGAAAGTCAAAATCAAAACAAAACCAAGGAACTCACACGTTAGGCATAAGCTCAACCACTGAGCTATCTCCCCAGCCATCCTGATTAAAAACTTTAAAAAAAATATTTTTAGTTATAGATGGACACAATACTTTTATTTATTTTTATGTGGTGTTGAAGATCGAACTCAGTACCTCACACATGCTACGCAAGCACTCTACCACTGAGCCACAACCCCAGCACTCTCATTAAAAAATTTAAACAATATAAAATAAAATAAATGTAAACAGTCTGTGACAGGTATTAACAGTGTGGTGGGGAGAAGCATGTCAACTTTAGGCTCCATGTTCAGAAATGATTCCTAAACCGAGAAGTGATGTTTGCAACTACCTTCTTATAGGGTGAAAAAATAATTGCCCTCCTCTCCACAGAGTTTAAATGTCCCCCAAGGTTTGGGGACTGTTAAAACATGGTGTGCTAGTTATAGCCTCAAGTACTGCTTGAAGACTTTTCAAATGTTATATAAAACTGTTTTGGTTTTTTCCTAAGAAGTGCACATCAACCAAAGTACCCTGTCTAGTGACAACTGGCACAGCTGGCGGGAACCAGGGGTGAGGTGGGGGTTGGGAGGAGACTCACTGAAGCAGGCCATCAGCTGGTCCTCCCGGGAGCACATCAGAAATGACTATGGATGTTTCTCCATTTTCAAAGTGGGGGTTGTCTCTGCCTCCAGACACTGCAATTCCAAATCCTCTTTTGGAATCCTGTTCATTAGGGTTAGGAGAAAAATGTTAAAATCCTTCCACAAGTGGCTTTCAGGATTTATTACAAGTGCTTAATAAAATAAAGGTCAAATCAATGACCAGAGATAGCTCAGGAACAGATGGGCTTATAGAAATAAATAAAAAAACAAAATTAAGCGTCATTGTAGTAAGCAGACAGGTTTATAAAGGGAAATCCTTTATCTAAAAGAAACAGCCTTGTGAAAAATGTAAAAGATGGATACGTACAGACTGGAGTTATCCCAAGAAGCTGGCAAGAGAAAGAAATAATGTCCTCTGTCCACATAGGTGTGTACTGTTCAAAGCACCAATCACATCTGCTTGCATCATGCTGGCCCAAGCTGGCACAATTCCAACTTCAGTAAAAGCTGAGTTTGTGCATATTTTTAAAAAAAAAATTTTTTTTTTTAAAGTCTGGGACTAAACTCCGAGGTGCTCTACCACTGAACAATATCCACCCCTAGCCCTTTTTATTTTTATTCTGCAAACCTTCTGCCTCAGCCTCCTAAGTTTCTGGGATTATAGGTATGCACCATTACACTTGACTCTAAAACTGCATTTTCGAAAGTATATCTTTAACTCCAAGTTAAATGGGCTGCTGGTTTCATTTTTAATATAAGGTGAAAAGTACATGTATTTAAAGATCAAATCCAAACATAAAATTAGTATTGAGATCTTATGAGTGAGCAAAGCATTAAACTTTTTTTCTATATGCCCAGAAGAATGGAAATTAATATATATCCAAGGGTAGTCCAGCAATGCACACCAGTGAATCCAGGTAAAAAATAATCCTAACTCTTTTCGGTGTTAAAAA